CACAGTGCATGGTGCATGTCAAACAGACTACTTTGTCATTTCGTCTAGCATCGGGGGTCAGTCAGGGTCTTACCTATTTGGCGCATTCACAGCTGAAGTGAAGCTGCAGGATGAGTAGGGTTTCTTGTCAACCCCGTTACTTCAGCACGGTTGTGTAACTGTCAAATTACCTTGAGGGAAGAGCTCCTCTCAATCAGGAGTTCGGCGCACCTTCGAATTTTCAGAGGAGATCTTAGTATTTTTAGCCTACGGTAGTAGGTGCGTTTCTGGTTAGCATACCACCTGCCACGTACTGTATGTACAAGAGGGCTGCCTTTCACAGCCCATGAAGCACTGCAGAAGAATATACCATGACGCAGTAGACTCTGACTTGACAATATCTCAGTCGCTCGCCTTTGACGAAAGCAGTTCGGAACTTGACATTGCTTGAAGGATGTAAGATCTGGAATCAGCATCCCATCACACGGGAAGAAGTGGGGTTGGCCTCGGGTGTGCTGGGAACCATCGATCCAGCCACATGAGATATTTACCCCAAAGCTTTGCTGTGAAAAAGATCATTCCCTTGCGGCAGCCATCAAGCTTTCAGTTACGTCACGAGTCGTTGTTTTTTCCACGTTGATGGTCATGGTCGCTTTTCAACTTTTGAACGATTTGGCGTTTACGTTTTGGCGGGGTATCTATAGATTTTATGAGGCTCAAATTTGTGGGCATCTAGATTTTATGCTCTCTGGGCTTTGGGTTTTGCACGCATGGTTTGTTAAGCTTGGAATAAGCTGAGATTGACGAGGTACATCATAGAAACAGAAGGCTATGATGATCATACCGTTGCGGACGATGTTTCTAACGGGATTTCACTTGTTGGGGAGGTGCCGCAATCGCACGTCTTACTGCGAAAGCTGTTACCGGCTACGATCTCTCAGCAAGATCTTCGAAGCAACTCCAAGCGTTCCAACGATGCACTGAGGTATATGACCAGAAGCAGCGGAGACGAGGGCTTGGACAGGAGACTTTGGGATAAAACATTGTTGGAGGTAGAGCGTGGTTGGATGCTGGGTCCAGTGCCCTTGGAAAGTCTTGGTGAAGAGATGACTCTGTCCAGGAGATTCCCGCTAGAACAGGCCGTGAAGGTTAGACCGATAGGTGATTTATTTCAAAACCAAATCAACTCGACAGTGACTTGCTATGAGCAGGCAACAGTAGATGGGCCTGATGTGATTTGCGCTTTTGCCACCTTCTTGATGCGTTGCCTAGCAATGAACGGCAGGGCTACAGAGCTGCTGGGTAGGTGGCTGGACTTGGCATCGGCCTACCGTCAACTGGCCACTGCTGACGACTCTAGATGCCATGCTTTTCTTTCGGTGTTTGACCCCGTGGCCAAGTCAGCTGCTTTGTTTCAACAGGTGGCGTTACCATTTGGGTCCAGGACTGCAGTCAATGCCTTCATACGGTGTGCAAGGTTTCTTCAGTGGGTGGCTGCCAAGTGTTCCAAACTTCCCTTACCAGTAGTACCGCACAAGGCGGTGGCGGAAGTTTCAAAAAATAGGAAACCTATAGGAGAGGTTGGTTGTTGTGAATCAGGGATGGCAGAGCGAAGCCACTGATGGACCAAAAGATGCTTGAGGTCTCCTCTCTTTCTCTCTCTTTCTCTCTCTTTCTCTGACTATCTACCTACCTACCTACCTACCTATCTATCTATCTATCTATCTATGTATCTATTTATCTATCAATCTATCTCTCTCTCTCTCTCTCTTCCATCTAATTAGCTATCTATCTATCTATCTGTCTGTCTGTCTGTCTATCTATCTATCCCTCTCTCTTTCATCTGTCTATCTGTCTAGCTGTCTACCTGTCTATCTGTCTATCTATCTATCTATCTATCTATCTGTGTATCTGTCTACCTGTCTATCTGTGGTGCAGTGTCATTCAGTGTAATGTAGTGTAGTGTAATGTAGTGTAGTGTAATGTAATTTAGTGTAGTGAAGTGTAGTGGAGTGCAGTTGTGTAGTTGCAGTTGTAGTTGTAGTGTAGTGGAGTGTAGTGTAGTGTAATGTAGTGAAGTGTAGTGGAAGGTAGTGTAGTGTAATGTAGTGTCGTGTAGTGGAGTGTAGTGTAGTGTAATGTAGCGTAGTGTAGTGTAATTTAGTGTAGTGGAGTGTAGTTGTGTAGTTGTGTAGTTGTAGTTGTAGTTGTAGTTGTAGTGTAGTTGTAGAGTGTAGTTGTGTAGTTGTGTAGTTGTAGTTGTGTAGTTGTGTAGTTGTGCGGTTGTCGTTTTAGTGTTGTGGAGTCTAGTGTAGTGTAATGTAGTGTAGTGTAGTGGAGTGTAGTGTAGTGTAATGTAGTGTAGTGTAGTGAAGCGAAGCGAAGCAACATCGAACCTCCAAAAGTGGTCCGAACCCCTGGTGTTTTGAACATTTTGACTTGGAAATGTGCTTCGCGCCACAACGGCGTGCACTTTTTCGACATCTCAAGTGCCAAAGGTGGTCCGAGCACCAGGTGTTTTGCACATTTTGATTTGCAAATGTGCTTCGCGCCACAACGGCGTGCAATTTTTCATCTCTCATCTGGCCAGCTGGCTCCGCCGAGCCTACTTTTCGACCCTCCGGAGCCCCAAATCATTGGAAAAACACAGTGTTTCGCGACTTTCCTACCTTTTCACGCATCTGCATCTTCTTTCTTCTTACCCTTCTTTCTTCTAATCTTCTCTCTTCTGATCTTTCTCTTCTCTCTGCCTCTGCCCTGCTCTGCTTTTCATCTGTCCATAGTGTCGGAAGTTTGACTTCTAAACTTCCTTCGATCATGTTACTTCCACGACTTTGTCTCCTTCTCTTACCCAGCTCTTGCGAAGAACACACCGTCAACCTTGTGCCTCATGCTGGATATCTTGGGTTGGGGTTTCGACAGAGAAGGCCCCAAGAGTGACGACTTTACTGCGCTGGTGTGTGCGCTTGGGGTGCAATTTGATTTGGGAAAAACTTGTGATGGAGTCTTGAGTGTTTGCTATACGGAAAAATGGATACGCGAGACTCTGTGACGTCTGGATGACGCTATGGCAAGGGGTACGTTGCAGACGCGAGAAGCTCTCGTGCTGAGAGGGCGTCGTGCTTTCTGCGACGCTTTCGTCTTCGGAAGACTTGGAAAAGTCGCTCTGCAAGCCATCACAAAACATGCACATGCATCTCCCTTCAAGGAGACCTTAGCTCAGTCTACTCTGGATTCCATGAAACTGTTGAGAACGAGGGTCTCCGATGGGAAACCCAGGCGCTTGACTTGTGATATATGGGAGACAATGTACCTTTTTACGGATGCTAGCTTTGACTCGGAGAAGAAATCAGGTCTGGGAGCGGTATTGGTTTCCAGCACTGGCAAGGTCACTTCTTGGTTTGAACTGCAGTTGGGGGTGGAACAACTGAGCCCCCTGCTGGATGAGGGCCGAGAAACAATCATAGGTGAATTGGAAACTTTGGTGGTTGCGATGTCGCTTTTGATTTGGGAAAACTTTTTGGAATCAGTCCAGCTCATGGTTTACATCGACAATGAGGGTTCGAAATTTTCGTTGATCAAGGGATACTCCACTTCTAGAGCCATAATGGCAATTTGCGCTTTGGCAGCGACCACGCTTGATGCACATTTTGTCTTGCCGTGGTTTGGTCGCATACCATCGCAAACTAACATAGCAGACTACCCTTCTCGACAGCTTGACCATCCCCTTTTGGTGAAAGACACCCAGGTTCTTAAAGTGGAAGTCCAAACGGTTTTCAAAGAGAATTTGGTTTTCGTGAGCATGGCCATTACGCCACCTTGAACATGGGTCGGGACCGTGGCAAAAGCGGTGGCACGATGTTCCCATATGTGTAGGAAAAAAGGTGTGATCGTTCAGCGAGTGAAACCGTTGTTTTATTTGCGTTTTTTTTTTTAAATTTTGAGGTGTTTTTGCCTCATGAGTTTATGAGAACGGGTTTAGCCCCTGCGCAAGAGACAAACGCGATTCGAGAAGTATAACATGTTTGAAGGTCTGAGACGTGCTATGTTTAAATTTGGAGGGTCGACGGTTTTTGTGATTAGGAAAATAAGGTGTGCCCACCTTCCCGAGGTTTTGCTTGTCTCCCAGCTTGTCTTCCTTCTTGTTTCTCTTTGTTGCGCAGACTTTGAAGTTCACAGAACTCCGGGATTGAGAATGATGTCATCTTTCAATTTCATCCTTCGATGTTTTCAACACATCCAATTTGACAGTCCTATGCTGCTTGATTCGAGCGTTTGGATCCAAATAGTTGCACCCCCATCGGATGTTTCCGTCATCGTTTTTTGGCATTTAGCGTTGCAACAAAGCAAGCGAAACCGAACAAAATAAACGTATATAAAGTGGTCTCCGGCACTTATTGCAGACATTTTCATCATTCCTGTCGCTGCTATTTCATGTGTTCCAAATCACTTCTTGAATCCACCCACTGCTTGGGGTCTACGGTGGTGTAATTTCACTCCGAAACTCGTTGCGCACAAACCAGGCTCAAAAATCAAAATTCCAAAACCGCACAGGAACATGCAAAACCCATGCGTCAGTGGAATTATTGTCACAAACAAGTATGGTATTGAAACCAAAATTGGAACGTTATACCTTGTGATTCATTTCAGTGGTGCTCAGAAGCGGGCCAAACATTAATTGACATGGTGGCTGAAAAGGCGGCCATGACACGTGTGTGACGTGTGCTGCGTATTTGGCCGCCAGAAATTGGCCCCTGGGTTTCATTTTGGATGCAGGTCGTGCCACAATTCCACAACTATGAGAATTTGATCAGAGCGGTGCGCTGGCAAAACCTTGCTGTGTGAATTTCTGTGACAATGGCCAAAACAATCAAAACATGTAGCCAGGAAATCGACGCCCGACGGCGCCAACTTGAGGACTCCAATGAAGAAATTCAGCGGACCTGGCCAGTTTATATAATGAAAACACATTGGTGAAGAGTTTTTGACAATAGCTGAGGCGGCAAAGTATCCGCGGAGACATGGGACAAGGAAATCGGAAAAGGCACTGCGGCAAAATTGTGAACCGGTTCCGTTTTGCTGCCGTGGCTTTCACTGTCAGTTATGTTGCCAGGCTTTTGATTGGAACAGGTCTGTTGCCCAGCCAGTACAACAGGACTCTCTGTAGTGACACTAGAGTAACGTTCACGACCAAATTGGATTTGATTTGGTTCTTGGCAGGATGACGGACGTAAACCACCATGGGTCCTACACTAGAGCACTGCTGGCATGTTTGCGAGACAACTTGTTTTCAGAACTTCATTGATAGATGCATCGCGTGCCAGGCATATTGGTGGGGTATGGCCCATTCCTGGCAGAGTAAGTTTGGCTTGTATGGTTTCGCAGAAGTGGAGGCTAGTTGCTTGTGTGTTTACATCGAAAAAACAATCAACACATATTTTCAACCACCATTGATTGTTTACATGAGTTACATGGTCTTCCAGTGATATATGGTTTTCACCATGGTCTTTTCAACCACCATATTTTCAACCACCATTCATTTCATATTGAACAACCGGGGCACCCCGGTGATTCCATGGTCGCCACACTGGTGCAGATCCGTCCTGCTGCAGGAGACGAAATGCCGAGCTCTTCTTTCTCAGACGTCGCCACCAGTGATGTTGTTGGAGCAATGGGACATGGTCGTGTTTTTTCCAATCATTTTAATATATGGGGGTGGGTCAAAACCTATTATTATCAATTCTAATGGGATGAACATCCATAAATCCCAGCTATTTTGATGTGAACTACAGGGGTACAAGGTTTTGACACACTGCCATATGTTCATCAGATTGAGACATTTCCTGCCCCCCAATGACAATAATGAGCAACACCTAGCAACGCACAAATATTAGTGACACATAGTGACACCTTCAGGAGCTGAACAGCAAGCACACCTTCAACATGCTGGATCCTGTTCTGTGTCTGTTGCTCAGTAATGGCTCAGCTCAACTATGTTTGGCAGGCATTCCTCAGTCATCATCAGATCACACATTTAGTAACTTTTCGCCAGTCCACGTTGCTTACATCCAGCTGAATTGGCGCGTATGTCCCGCCTGGGATTGACAGGGCTCGTTTGCAGACTCTTGAGAAAACTAGCAGCACAGGTGGTATTTTGCCTTCATCGCGGTGACCTTCATCCGCCAAAACACGGTGGTGAAGTTGTCATAATTCTTCTCTACGTTATCAATGCATTTGTTTGGTTCATGTATTCCCTCTCCTACATTCCACCCATCTTCAATATGTTGCAGTCTGTTTCATAATATTGCTGATGCTTGGAAATAGCCATAGGGATGGAAGGTGCAACACAGAATCCCCGATACTTCACAGAATCCGTTTCAAGTTACAGCACAGCTGCAAAGAACATAGTCCTGCGGTTGAACAGTTCCCTCCATAAAACTATCCTTTTCATACCCCCCGACTCATACCCCACGAATCGAGGAGGCATGATTTTGTGCAGATTCAGGCATGACTCTTTGATTTATTGAATTTGAGTGCCGCAGGCTGCAGGTTCGTTTCTTTCCCAGTCATGGTTTCGAATTTTCAACGAGTAGTTCCTGTGCGTTGGACCTCACAGAATCTACGTGAATTTAACAATAGTCAATATATATTATCATATATCATATATCATATATCATATATCATATATCATATATCATATATCATATATCCACAATATGATTAAGAAGGTCAGTGGAAGGTCAGCAACCAACTTGATCCAGCTTGATCCAACGACACTTGGCTGCGACGCCTTTGTCATGGGCCCTGTGATTGGGAAGTGTCGACGCCAAATCTTCCCGTGCTCCAAAATGCCGCAGCCGTGGCATGTGATCTTGGTCGCAGGTCCTCCTGCAGCAGGGAAACTTGGAGAAATCTGTAGAAACGCTGCTGTGTTGCCGCCTTTTGTCACCTTTCGTTGTCACCACCTTTACCTTTTTTGTTGTCACTTTTTTTTTGTGTGTGGTTTTAATCGATAGCTTTTATTTCCTCATATTTTTGAAGAAAATAAGTCACATCTCTGCAGCTTGTTTAAGCATGTTAAGCATGTTTAAGCCAAAAAATGATGATGTGCTGGGTTGGTCCTCGGAATGTGGCTTGACAAACGACAACCCAGGAAGGGAACTGTGTGCGATGGCTTGAAGAAGCGCTATGGCTTGGTTCATATCTCCCCGGGTCAGATACTTCGTGATGAGGTTTGCAAGGAAAGCGACTTAGGTTTGCAGGTGCCTCCAGGGATCTCCAGGGTGTCAGATCCCCACAGTGATCCCCTTGTGTTGTGCATGACTCGGACCACCCGGACAAAAATCCCATGACGATCCCATGGAGTGTTCGAGAAGCTGATGTGTTTTTTAAACTGGCGTAATCCAAGTTGCCAGTGGACCTACTTAAATCCCTGGTCTGTGTAAACTTCCGCCTTGCAGGTGAAGCACTACATGTCTCAGGGACTTCTTGTTCCGCATGAATTGGTCATTGAGATCATGCACGAACGTCTGCGAAGGCCAGATGTACTGAACCGCGGGTGTTTGTTGGACAACTTTCCACTGACCGAAGAGCAAGCTGCGACTTTTACCAAGAGATTTGGCGTCGAGAAGCTTTTGCTGATCAATGTGCCTGAAGACGATTTGATCATTCGGTCGACCCAGCGTCGATTGGACCCTCTGACTGGGCGAATCTATCATTTGAAGTATCGCCCACCGCCAGCTGAAATCGCAGCTCGCTTGGTCCAAAGAAGTGATGACCAGGAGGAGTCTGTAAAGCAGAGGATTGAAACCTATAATCAGCACATTCAGTCTATTCTCCCCTATTTCAGTGGAAAAATCAGCCAAATCGATGGTACCAAAGCTCCTGCAGAGGTTTTGGCTCTTGCTTGCGAGGTCTTGGAAGATCTTGAATGGACGAGTGAGGAACTGCCATACTTTGGAAATGTGGCATTCGCTGGGCCATTCTCCATTCAACAAGCCAAACGTGCTGGATTTTACTCCCCAGAAGATCCACCTGAGGAGGGTGCAAAGGTGGTGTGTTTTCAACGCGGCGCAAATTGGCAACGTCGGGGTCTTGTGCAAGATGTTAGCGAATGCACAAGTGATGGGCATGGTTTGAGAAAAGGTTTCGAGGGGATGCTAGTCACTCTGAGTGACAACTCTGAAGTGTTCACATGTTGGTCAGCCTTTCTTGCGCCTGTGAATGATAGAGAGTACTCGGCAATTTGCACAACTCATGGCTTCCTTTCGTCGAACTATTGTGCTCTATGCCCCTGCAGCAAAGGTGTTGGGGATGTCGACTGCATCAGCAAGGAAGATGCTCGAGTCAGTTTGATGAAATGGCTGAAAGAGCTAGAGGATGCAGACGGTGAGCCATTTGAAGTTACTTCAGAAGCGTTGAACTCGGTGCTCAAGCAGTTTGATTCCAACGAGGATGCGTCCTTGTTCTTGTACACAACACATCAAAAACTGGGAAGAAGAATCAGCCTGGTGACCGGCTTGGACTATTCTCTTTATTATCGTGCCCTCAACAATACTTTGAATTGTGATGCATCTCATAATGTAAAAAATGCTATGACTTTGATTCAAAGAATGATCTATTGCCTACTCTCTAATCCTGATGGTTCCAAACGTCTGCACAAAGGTGGCAGAGTTTGGAAAGGTGACACACAGAGACCTGTTCCTTTAAACATGCAAAAGCTTCGGGAAGCTTCTCGCTTGGAACGCATCGTTCGCTTTCGACAATTCCAATCCACCACCAATGATCGCCAGCTGGCAGAGAAGTATCGAAAACGTGAAGATGGCCGAGGCTATTTGTGGACCATAGATATACCTCCAAACTTTTGGGGGGCTAGGGACATACATGACATCTCATGGAAAGATAAGGAGAGTGAGACCTTGTTCCCTCCCTATTCTGCCTTCCGGGTGCAGAGTATGGATGACAGCCAATGTCATTTGCTGGCAGTTGAAGCATGGTTGCACTCGGCTTTGCACTCTGTTGCATTATGTCTTTCAGATTGTTACATAAGATGTTGTATGGAGCCACTTTGAGCTTCCTGTGTATCCAACTGTTCTTTTTGTTTCCAAAGGTGTAACAAGCCCAAAGCTTTCAAAGCTTTCAAAGCTTTCGAAGCTTTCGAAGCTTTCAGGACCGCGGCTCTGAGCTCACCGATCGGGCGGAACGTCATGGACTTCGAGGTTCAGCGGTGGAGATGCTCCTCAAATACTGACGCGGCCCTTCCATGTACGATTGGAAGCGCAGCCAGGCCTTAGGCCTTGGATGTGAAGCCATGTGAATCCATGTGAATCCATGTGTGAAACCTGAATAAATTCGCACACCTCAAAGAGGTGAAGCTCAGAATGCTCAGAATCGGAAAAGGCCGATGCACTGCTCTTTGATGTCAATGTTTTCTCCAGATATATATATATATCTGTTTTGTTGCAATGCTGATGGCCAAGGTACTGACTTCAATATGATGATGGATGCCTATCACATGCACTTGACGAAGGCCAAATCCAGGCGGACGCGGAACATACTGTGGATATGAAAAGAATTTGTCAAGCATGCGTGATGGAAAAAGACAAAAGACGACCTCTTTCCGACATGTGTTGCTTTGCTGTTATTGCAGATATATATTGGAAGTCTTTGAACACGACAAATTTCGACCAGGAACAGCATCCCTTTGGCTGCAGTGCTGCAGGGAGCTGGTCCTCACTTATGTCCAGGAGGCGAGAGTCGACGTGTCGATGGTGCTGCCTGTAGTTTCTGTAGCTACTCTAGTTACTGTAGCACCATTTTGGTCGTTTGATCCTTTGGTTCTTGAGAATTTAGTGAACATTTTGAGGAGAACCTTTGATGAGAATTCTGGTGGGCACAAATGGCAAACAAATGGTGAACAAATGGCAAACACGTCGCAGAACGGCCAGCAGATCCATAGATGCCATAGATGCCATAGATCGATCCCTGAGGCAACCATCACCCAGTTGCTCCCGAGGGAGCAACACCTTTCCAAATGGCCTCAGTGGCTTCCAATTCAATTTTCGTGGTCCGTTTGAAGGCGCCCGAAGTCGTCGCCTTTTTAGTCGCCATTTTAGTCGTCGTAAGTGGGTTTGTCTGAAAATAGTGTACCCCTACACCCAATGGTTAATGATCATTATCCCTACTAAATGGCTATAATTGGGGGTATACCCCATTTTCAGACATACCCAAGTCGTGATTCTGGGCAGTGGTTTGAACAGTGATACCTGTTCGATAGTGTAAAATAGATGTAGTGGACATGCTCACCTGCAATGATTTTGAGCACTTGCCAACTGCTGAAGAAATGGACTAAGCAAGATACTTCAGAGAGTTGCAAATCCCAACGAGTGTCATTTTTATTGTATTTCACCAAACAGATTTACCTGTGTGGGGTTCTTACTTTGAGACAGTTGCATGCCTGAGCCGCATGACCAGCAGCTGGTGTCTCTGTGCTTGCATTCCTGGTGCTTGTTTTTCAGTGCCCTGTACGCTGTGGCTCCCACTTGTCCGACTTGTCTCCCAGTTTGCTGTGGGTGTCTTGGGCCGCATTCCCAACAAGTTCCTTTGAACATCGGCCACCTCTCTCCCGTCTCTGTGCTGTGCCTTGGTTTCGTGCCTTCTGCGGTTGCTCTTTCTGTGAATTCCTTGCACCTAAGGTCTCATAGCAAGAAGTTGACGCTTGATATTTCCTTTTCTGTTGGGGTCAATGCTGGTACAATACATGTAAATAGTACATATATATATATATCATATATGTAGATACAATACATGTGTATAATATATATATACATATTATGTGTATATACATAAAAACATGAGATATGTGCATGCACATTATCATCCCCATTGTGACCATCGCATTCCAAGAGTTTTCCGCAGGAACTTTGCATTCCAACTGTGGTGGCCATCACGGGCAATGCCATCGGAGGAGGCGTTGCAGTGTCCCTTGGTTGCCAAGGCAGAAGCGAATGAAGCCTAGGGATGATATACACATGTTTGTTTACTATATGTATATATAGACAGTATACATATATATTATATAATATATTATATGTATATAAATATAATATATATTGTAAATATCATATATATATATTATATTTATTATGTATATATACATATATATATATTTATATTATGTATATATGTATATATTATGTGTATATATATATACAGCATATGCATATGTATTGTGTGTGTGTGTGTAAATGTTTATAGAGATACCCAAAACTGTATTTCCACACATTCCAACATATCTCAGTTCTTTAAGAAAACATGTTCTGTATCAATATCCCAATCGCATTGACATTGTCGTCTTGAGACTCTCAGAAGTTGACGCTGTGAGGTCTCTCAATGCGACAGAACGGGTCATTGCGCAGAACGGCTCTGCAGCCTTTGGCAATCTTAGCAGAGGCGCCGGAGCACGACCTGACAGTTTTTGAGCTCACACTCGTTGGGAGACTCAGGGACTTTTTTTTCGAAAGCCAGGTGCATGTCCCATCATGATGCTTTCAAAGCATCTTCCGGAGCATGTTGGCCTCACCGCAGCGAAGAGCCCTCAGCACCTCATGCGGTTTCATGCGGCTTCATGCGTCATGCGACTTCCGGATTGATCTGATTGGTGACTATGAACATCTTTGAAATGTGTCCTACAATGTACTGTGGCGATTCAATATCCTACGGTTGATATGTTCCACACTTTGAACTCAATCCTGCGGTGAGGATTGATATCTATTTGACTGACTCCACTTTCAGTGCTAACGCAGTTCAAAAGGCGCAATGGGACGTGCAACGAAGTCTGACTTTAGCCTTTGGAAATATCATGTGTGCTTTTGGTCACACTATTGTCTAGCTGACTCTTGACTTGACTTTTGTCTTGTCTTGAAGGCTGGCATGGTCAGCCGTATTTCTGCAGATATCAGGACAAGTTGCGCAAAGCGGTGGTGACACGTGTGGGGTGTAACATGGTGTAACATGGTGTAACATGTGCACAGATCTGTCTCAGGAGCACCAAAGCCACTGCACTCGCGATGGTCACTTGGGATGAAGTGTCTGCGGGGTCTTCGAATTGGAGCTGACCCGGTGCCAAGGCCCGAAAGATGGCCTCGCTTCCCGGTGCTCGACTGGCGGTCATGGTGCAGCCTACCCTCTCTGTCACTCAGCTGCATGTGAGATCCGTGTGTCACTGAGTCGCAGCAACTTCTGAGGTTGAAAGGTACGAAGATGAGGCACCACTGGGCACCACTTGGCACCACTTCATTTCAACTTCTTTCCACTTCAATTCGTTCGACTTGGTTCCAGTTGCCCAAACCTCCTGGAGAAAGATTCAAAGCTTTTCTTTTTTGAACATCCGGCAGAGCCAACTTGGCATTGGCTTGTGATGCAGGCTTATGGTATCTACACATGTGGCCGTACGGGTCAGATGCACTTCCCAGGCAGGTTCTCCTCACTGCATCTGATTTTGCAAAGCCTCATTTGTGTAGAAGATTCCAAGCGCAGCTTACACTGCTGGCATAATGTTTGCACCTTTGCAACTTTTGCAACACCTGCAACGCAAAGCATATGGCGATTCCATCAGGTCAGTCCAAGACTTGAAGGTAGAGGCGCCGTATCTTATCGCATTCTTATTGCCTGTTGCCTTTTGGTGTCACTTTTCTTTCAAAAGCTTTCCAGCACCAAGCTGTATCAAGCCAGATATGGTCTCTTTTTCGTACATTTCGATAGGCCTGCAAATTCTCTGTCAACATTTGTGTGACCCTCAGCGTCTCGAGATGCCAAAGTTGTGTGGTCTTGAGACTTCGACAGGGCGACCGACTTCCGAGGTACAGAATGTGCGGCCACAAAGTGCTGCAGGAATGGGAAATCGGCACAGCTTTGGCTTGGACCGGCGTGGACTTCTAACTCCGATGGAAAGCCAAACTGGTACCTTGACCATGATGGTGGTTGACCCAAAAAACATATAAAAATCTGTGAAATCCTCGTCTGATCATGATCTGAGTGTCGGCTTTCTCATTTTACGACTCGCACTTCGCCTTCAATCTTCCAACTGAAGCGCCAAAAAACCGCCAACAGTTTTGGAGTTTTGCTGCACAGTGAAGATCAGTGAGCGCTGCTTCTTGAACTAGTTGAACTTGTAGCATTTGTAGCATACGATGGCCTACAACCGACATCCTGAAGCTGCCATGTCAGGTCATTCAAATTACCGACATTGGACGGAGGATTGCTGAATGCATTAGCCAGTGGTTGAGAATAAAGCAATGTTTAATTTTTGTTCTATAGCATTGACGGTCATTCAACGATAGATCCAAATGAAGCGAACCAGATAGCTTCAGGCGCATTTCCAGGGTCCTGGATCAAAGGTTCTAAGCCAATACAAACTACATTAATGTTCTCTGGGCAAAGCCTCTCATGGGATGGAGCATGTGGAGGTTCAGGCCAAAGTGAGCGATTTGGTTTCCCTTCTGTCAGACTCCAGACAGCAAGACACCAATCATCGCCAGCGTTCTCGAAGCCGGGAACCGCTGAGACGACGAGAAAGGCCTGTCTTTGGTGCGCCGGCGCCTGAGGAGCACCGTGAATTTCAGGAGTCTCGCGGGCGTGACCGACGTGACAAACGCGACATCATGCGACGCGATTCAAGTCACATGTCTGACCGACGTCGAGATACCCGTGACCGAGACCGAAGATATGCCGACCGTGCTGACCGAGACAAGGAGAGCCGGAGAGAACGGCGCGATGCCCGCGATGCCCGCGATGGGCGCAACGGCTGGGATCGTGACCGCCGTGATGGCCGTGATGGTCGCGATGCCCGCGATGCCCGCGATGGGCGCGACGGCTGGGATCGAGACCGTCGTGACGGCCGCGACGGCCGTGATGGCCGCGACGGCCGTGATGGCCGGGAGGATCGAGATCGGTATCGTCACGATCGGAGTCGTCCTCCACTGGAAAGGCGCCCCAGTCACCGTGACAGAAGCCGCTCAGGCTATGAGAGAACTCGGCAAAGTGGACACGCTCCCAATCAAACTCCTCACAGTGAAGAACTGCGTGACTGGGACAGGCCTGTACTCCGTTGCATCCTGAAGTGTGATCTTTTCTGCTAGCTTGTGCGGTACAATAGCAACATCCCGTATGAATTATTGAAAAACTAATTACTAGATTCTCAGTATTCTCAGGGGCATGCATGATTTCATCCTGGGTCTGACCTTTGAAGATTTCTTGTGGACAGGCCCGGAAGAGAAGCCCAAGAAGCCCGTTCAGAACGTGTTTCTGCCCTGCTTTCTGAACGCAGCGATTCAGTGATTTGCAGAGCCAGAGTTCACCGGATCCAGGCCGAAGCCGCAGCCCAGCAGCTTCTGCGGAGCCACAAAGTGTGCCAAGTGTTGAGCTCAGCTCGGCATGTCACACGATGTCAGCTATTTCTCGAGTCTCAAACCCGATGAATTGTGTTCAGGTCATGAGGAGACCTTTCGGGAGGCCTTTGAGTCTCAGGAGTCCTCCTCATTTGATGTTTTTGATGACAATTTTGATTTCTGATGAGACTTGATGCCTCACATTTTTGTGCCAGGAAGTAAGAGGACGGGAAGGCCAAGGCCAGGGTCCTAGTGAGGGCGTTCAGATTTTTAGATGCGACCGTTTGGGCGTGTAGTACCCCACTAAACGCTCCGCGCTGTAGCCGGAGACACATTTTCGCCGTTTCCTGGCGTTCGGTTGTAATTATTCTTTTAAAGATCAATATACAGTAGTTTAGAAAAGAGAGCCACTACACGCTACACGCTGGACGTGTTTTGCTGGTTTTTTCCACGGTAAAAGGCGTGTAGTGCCACAACTGTCGTACTAAACGCTCACCCTCTGTAGGTTCAGTGTCACACACGCCGAATACCGCACCTGCCACCAAAATCTGCACTAAACGCTGTCAGTTTTCACACCGTGACTGCCAGAAGTACCGCACATGCCAAGCAAATCAAACCCGCAGGCGCGACAGCAAAGTTAGCGCAAAACAGCGCGCTGTCTGCAAGACGGGAAAAAGGCATTTGCATCCTCTGTTGCAACTCCGGTTCTCGACCATGCGAACTTGGAGCAAAACAAACAATCTTTCAGGATGAGCCTGGCGGCAGGCTTCAAAGCAGGCTTCGAGGCAGCCTCGAGGCTATAATTGGAGCAAACGCACATGAATGTCCATATTTTTAAACAGGTTTCATCTTCAAAAGGGCCGTTGCAACTTTACGCTTTACATGGGCCAATGCTCCTTTTTGTTGACCGTCTTGGCTTTTCGCTGTCCCCTCTCGGTCTATTCATTCCCAAATTGACATTGGGTGCAGGATAAAAATTGTAGCTGTGTTCGCATCAGCAAAAAATACACTTTCTAGGCACCAACCCACCAACCCAGATCCAGGAAGTGTGTCAACGACATCTGTCCAAAACAAACAGCCACTTGCACCAAATGCAAGCAACCAAAACAATCAGTCCACACAGACAGAAGTCAAGAAATTCAGCAGCCCCAAACGAACGCCAACAAGACATTCAGCAGCCAAAGACTTTAGTGTTTGGCGACAAGCCTGCTTCATCATGGCCCGAAAACAGGATCCAAAAAACTAGTAGAAACATGGCGGCCATTAAGGGACCTCGACTGTACCTAAGAGCCATGGTCAACCAATGTAGTTCCACCATACAAGAAGTACATAAAGCGGCCCGCATCCATACACAACTGAGCAAAGACACAGCAGGGTCAACCACGCAATATCGCCCACAAGGAGGAGAGATGCAAAAAGATTGTCATGCAAGGCCGTCTGCACGTCGATGGCCTCAAAAGCTGGAACTGGACCAATACACAGTCCAATAGGCAGTCCCATCAAAACAAACAAAAACAAGCACAAAAGTTACACAAACAAACAAAAAACACCAAAATACAACAAAACCAAAACAAAACAAAAAACACAAAGAAGTGGGATCGCCACCAGCTCTGAGAAATAAGATGCACGATGACATCTTGTGTGTCATCATGGGTATGGCCTCTGAAAATGAGCAAAACAAGGACACACGGAAAAAAACAACGGGGCCATGCAAGAGGGTGATAGAAGCAACAAAGCTCAATGCGGAAACCGATCCCCGAGATCAGAGAGCAGCCATCAGGCATAACATTCACCCAGACACTTCGAAGCAAACAACGACGACGCTGTGTCGCAACGAGAGTGGTGAAAAACGGAAAAAAGGTGAAACAGGAGGAGACATGATCTAAAGTGTTCAACAGAGGTTCTAGACGGGCAACTTGTGTCTTTGATTGTCGGTGATGGCATGTTTGGAAGCCGTTCCGTCGTCCTATATGCCTATGCTGCTGATCGCACACCCTTTTCCACATACGTGTGCCTACCTTCAGGACTGTATAAAGCACGCACCGGGAATGTAGTAGCGCAGACAGGCCCAGACCAGGAGATCCTGTCCCTGCCTGGCATATATTTCTTTGATGGATGGCGATTACACCCAAACTTGCCAATCCCAGACCACCTGCCACGCGCAGCAGAGGCACCAGTTCAAGGTACCGCTCCTGATGCACCTACACCTGATGCGGAGCCCAAACGGTCGCCAGAAGAAGAAGCGAGGGACATTCTTGCAGTAGCCGCCAAGAACCAGCCAGAGGATGGCCCGAGCACAAGAAAAGCAGCTGTCCGCGCATGTAAATACCTGAGAGCCATGGTCAACCAATACGAAACCACCATCCAAGCTGTGCATAGTGCCGCCCGCACCCACACGCAAAGAAGTAAAGGCATGGTTGGACCTCCTGTTGATTATCGCCCACAAGGAGAAGCCCTCCCAGTAATATCAGCAGACCTCACCTCTGAGTTATTGCATTGCCTATCGACGCTCCCAGACCCATGGCCCTTAGCCAAAATTACCATCGATATGGAGAAACCGAGCCAATGGGTCTCAAAATTGTGCAGACTTTATTTTGCGGACGAGTACGCCAAGCGCACAGTGGGACTTCCCTCACGTAAACATGTTCCGGACATTGCAGGCGCCCTCCGAGCAGTTCAAGCCATCCTCCCCAAACTTGAAGTCAAGATGATTGAATTCTTAGCTGAATGGATGGTAACTCTGTTAATGCCAGCCAGACATGTAATGGAAGTGAGGGCACCTCATCTTTCCTTCATGATGCTCAAGGAATACTGGTTCAGGGAACTTTACTTAGGCCTGAAAGTCACAGCGTCCTTTGACCGCTCTGAGTCATATACCAGAGTGATCGATGGCCAGGTAAGATGCATCACGCCTGAAGTGAAGCCGCAGAATTTGCAGGTCATTTGGAATGTGCAGTTCATCACAGTCTTTGTGCCAGCATGGATGATCCCGCCTGTCTATCATAGCCTACGCAGAGAAAGCATCAAAACTGTGAGTTCTGGCAGCCCCATAGGAGTCCAGTCAGTCCGCCCTACTTGGTTTGAGGACACAACACCTAAGGACCCTACCTCTCAGCAATCTCAAGACCCTCACAAGGAGCAAGCCCAACCACTTCATGGTCTCAAGTTAGTCATCAAAGAAGAAGTGTTACCAGCGACTGACCAACCGCAATTCCAGTCGCTTCAGCTGTTGGCTAGCAGGGGCCT